TTTAAGATTATATTGGAAGGCCTAAGTTTGGCCTGGAACCCACTGCTATTACAAATCTTCCTGAAAGTGTGAATAGAAATGATTGAAAGAGCAGACCCAGTGCCCAGTCCCATAACCAATGGAACTCCTTGTAACCTCACCTTAAGTGACAGTTTCTTCTTAAGTGGTTTGTGTGTGCCTGTTCTACAAATACTCCTGTGTGATGCGCAGAAACCCACCCTGTTTTGGCTGGGGACCCTGGTACCTTTCAGACGCAATTCTTCTCAAGGTTGTGCCTTCTGATGGCCCAGACAAACAGATGCTATGTGGCCTTGCCTTCCACACGCTGTACAGATTGCAGAACGGAACCTGCAGTCGGCCCTCTTGTGGCGACCTCCACACCCGAAGCACTTGGACACAGCTGTAGCCTTTTCTTTGCCTTCCTTCTGCTTCCTTTCTTTGGCTGGGTAGAGATGATCCACCTCTTCTTCAGGATCTTCCTCCGAGCTCTCATGGACTCCCTCATGGTGCACGGAGACTGCTTCTGGGTTGTTCCTGATGGGCCTCATGTTCTTGACTGCCCCACCTGCTGCCTCCTCTGCAGTGACCTCTCTCAAGGCATCTTGGAAAGAAATGTCTTCTTTTGCAAAGAGTCTCTGTTGCAAATCTCTGTTCCTTAACCTGCATACAAATCGGTCTCTCAGCCTTTCTTCTAAATCTTTAAAATCACAGGGCTTAGCTGCTCTTCTCAAAGCTGCAATGTATTCTTTGGCTGATTCACCAACTCTTTGATCTGTGCCTTCATGCTATGACAGCAACTTGGGCTGAAAATGTTCCTTCAATAACTTCTTTAAGTCTGTATAAGTGACAGACTCAAGAGGAGCAGGGGCTGCCAAATTTTCTGCAATCTCAAATGCATCTTGACCACAGACACACAGCAAAGTAGCGGCCTTCAAGCCATCTTCTCTAACTTGATTCACTCTAAAGTAATTTTCTACTCTAGCGACATAAGACTCCCATCTTTCTGGGTGAGTAACATCGAATTCAGACAATCTTCCTATCTTCGCCATCCTTGCTTCTTATTCTAGGAAGGGGTCTATCAGCCAGCTTACCTCCAGCGACACTGTACTGGCAGGCCAGGTGCTGAGTTTAACGCCGTCTTCCTTTCTCCAGGACTCCTTGGGTAAGCCTTACAAGTCTTCTTTCTTGTAAGCGATCCCACCTTCGTTGCCAGTGTTGAGTCCTCGAGTCAATGGCGAAAGAAGAGCACACATTCTGATGGTTGTAACAGCCTTTATTCTCTTCAGCTCTCTCCGACACAACTCAGAGGCTCGCAGGCCTCTCTGCCTCTAAATAGAATCCCCGGGCAAAAAGGTAATAAAGAATGGCGCGCTTTCGCCCTTGTGCATGCACATAGGCTGGCACCACTCAGTCTGGTCCTGGACAGCTCAGGACACAACATTTTTGTTCTGTTGATCTGGCGTCCCTGGTGTTGCAATGGAATTCTGCTTTCTCGAACAGTGTTCTGATGCAGCTTTGTTTGTGGCATTTGGAGTGGTTGCTGTGGAAGTATGCCAATATGACCTCACAGTAGTCCACAAATCAGCCTCAACTCTCAGACATACCCTGTCAAAACGTAAGGAGGAGACAGAAACAAACCAAAAATCAGGCATCATATACTGAATCCAGTGCAGCAACTGTGAAAAAGAACTATGTGGTACAAACAGGAAGAAAGCTATCTACCAGACTGCACAAACATTTCTTGGCTATCAAAAGACATGACCTACTATCCTTCATGTCCGTCCACGAAGACAGAAGGACACAAGTTTGATCTAACTGGGACCACAGTTGTAATGCAAGCGAAATCAAGGGGAGAAAGAGAATTCCTTGAAGCCTGGCTCTCCATCAATAAGTCAATAAACAGACACATTGACATCGACCCAGTCTACCAACCACTGAGAACGAAAGAAATACTTCAACCGCAATCCTGAAGGCATCATTTAAAATGAACAAAGAGGCACCCCAGCAAACAGCAACAAAAATCACAACTCTCCACAAGAAACCAGACCATGCCTCAACAACAGCCAGCCAGCCAGCCAAACAACCCGAAACCAGATCATGACTCAGAGTCAACCAAACGAGCAAACGCCATTTGCATCATATCAGACGATACCCAAACACCAAAAACTATGGCCCAGAACAACAACAAGCCAATCAAACAGCCTGAAACCAGACCATGACTCAGAAACATCCGGACTAATAACACCCACACCAATTTACATCACACACAAAGGTATTTAATGGCCAATGCTCTGACGGTCGAGCACAATTCAAAGCGCACTGAAGATGTCCCCTGAATGGAGGCGAAACATTTGCAGCCAAATTGCCAAGCTTGGAGATCAAACCAACAGCCCAACTGCTAACCTAAGCTACTAATATTCAAACATATCTCAAGGAAAACCATTTTCAGATAGTAAGCGTTCATGCAAAAGTTGTGTTGCCACTGTGTAGCCTGGATGGTCATTAGAGTGGATACCAGACTACAGGTAGTCCTTGCCTTATGACCACAACTGAGTCCAAAATTTATGTTGCTAAGCAAGACTGTTGTTAAGTGAGTTTTGCCCCATTTTTTGCTAAGTAAATCACTGCAGTTATTAAGTCAGTAACAGGGTTAATAAGTGAACCTGACTTCCCCATTGAATTTGCTTGTCAGAAGGTCGCAGTGATGATCACATGAACCTGGGACAATGCAACGATCATAAATACATGCCAGTTGCGAAGCATCTTAATTTTAATCAAGTGACCATGGGGATGCTGCAGTGGTCATAAGTGTGAAAAATGGTCATAAGTCATTTTTCAGTGCCACTGTAACTTCAAGTGGTCACTAAATGAATGATTGTAAGTTGAGGACTATCTGTATCACCACGCTCTGGATCCCAGTATCGAAGCCTGGAAACAGGAAATCAGGACAGGGTAAAGAGGCCAGAATGTAGAGGATAGGAGATACTTGTCATCTTAAACAAGCTCCAAAATGCTTGTTTGAGGTTTGTGTCATGTGCAAAGAATCAAGACCGCATGTTAAGTTCTAGTTAAGAAGATTTATTGCTCACATTATATGCAAGAATCTAGTCAACTAATGGTCAGCACTAAATTGGCATTAGATAAGAGTTAACGGAATTCAAGGGGAGGACTGGACTTGGATCACTTGTGGCAACGTAAGGACTTCAGACTGATTCCTCTTTTGACTCCCTCCCCGCTCAGGCTCTGCCTCTTTTTCTCCTACCGTTTGTTTTTCAAAGCAGAGGGCGGAGGGATTTGGTTTTTTTGGGCAGAAATCTGAGGGAACTTGATGAGGTACTCTTTATTACCAGCTGACCAGGGAATGGTGAGATGATAGTTAGTTCCTTTTGAGCATTGCAGGCTTGCAAAAAATAAAAGTAAATTAACTTATTCCAATTACATTCTTGTAACCTTACCTAATCAGATAAATTTATTTAAACCCAACTTAATTTTTTATTATGAATCCAGATGACTTTGGAATGGGAAACCTGGTCAAGTTCCCTTAATGTTTATACATTTCATAAAATACTATACAATATTGCAATTGAAAATAAGCTGATTCCATCTGTTGGTATATAGTGTTGAAAGAAAAATCTTCATCAGGGTCCAGTCCAAGTTGGGAATAAACAAAATGTAGGCTGCTTTAGAAAGAAGATCGTAGTTTATTGAAGAGCAGAACCACAAAACAGGCTCTGGAGCAGCTGACCACATGTAGCTGGGAGTGGTGGTTTTTTATACCTTTTTGGGCTTTTGTGTTTGGAGTTGTTCCTGTTTGAGGCTTTGTATTTCCTGTGTCATGTACTTTGACCTGAGTCTGAGTGTGCCCTTTCTGGTATTCTAATGATGGTGGGTTAATCCTATTATGTCCCAAGGTCATATCCTGCTTCCCTATGGCTGTGGCTGATGACTACATCCTGTGTTGGATTTTTTGGGTGACAGGGTTGTTGATTCTAGGGATCTTTTGTCTTTCTAAGCCCATCAGTTCTAAGCTTCCTGGCTCCAATCTTTCTGAAAGATTTCTACAGACCTGGCCTCTGCTTGGGGCAGGGAAACTTCGGGGAGTGGGGGGTGGTTTCTGCCTAAAGATTTCCATTATTCCTTTGAGAAATATATTCTGCCTTTTTAATATCCTCCAAAATATTTCTTTCTCGGGGTAGGGGTGGGGGCTGACTTCCCACAACAGTATAGTTGTTTTGTAAGTTTCTGGCCTCTTAAGCACATCTTTCAAGCCATATTCATTCTGATCATTGCAACTTCCTCATTTTTTTCCAAGAAATCAGTTAGTGACTTAGATTATAAGAATATAAAATTGTTTAAAATATCTAGAATAGTCTTTCTCAATTGGGATTGAAGTCAATATGTTTTCCTTGAGATACAATGATTTAAAAACATTGTTTTTTAATGTTTAATATATTGTAAATTATAGATATAATCAATTTTATGTATGGGTTCCCTGATAATTATTTCATGGATTTCTTGAAGGTAAAAAGTTTGGGAAAGTTTGATCTAGAACAGTGTTTCTTAAAGTGTGGTTTGACCGATCTTGGGGTCCCCTGAAAACCTCTCAGGGGTCCACAAAATCAAAATTATTTGCCTGGTATTGAAGATACTTGCAAAAATGTATATCAATGTCACTCACTCATGTCATTATTATTTATTTGTGAAGAACTTGGGGTCTTTCAAGAGAGTGATTATCTTATTATCAGTTGCATTGATCGACCTACAAACAGTTCAGTAATAATGTTTTTGTTATGTGTATTAACCTAAAAGAGACAAAATATGCTCATTTTACCACCAAGAATATCAAAGCTTTTTGCTCTTTTTGAGTCAACAGTGATTGTTTCCGGTCTCGGCTTTGGATTAGTGATTCTCTTCAAATGTCCTTCACTTAGTTATTAATGAAATGCACAGAATTTGTAATTTGTAAGCATACAGCATCCCCCCCTTTTTTTCTGTTGCAGTTGCTAGGGGCGTTTGTCTTAGCTGTAGGCATTTATGCAGAAGTTGAAAGACAGAAATATAAAACCCTTGAAAGTGCCTTCTTAGCTCCAGCGATCATCCTTATTCTCTTGGGCATCGTAATGTTCCTTGTGTCCTTTCTGGGAGTATTGGCTTCTCTGAGGGACAATTTATGCCTTCTTCAAACTGTAAGTATTTTTTATTTAAGTAGAAGCCTATTTTCCTTGACCCTTCTAAAACGATTTCATTTCCCTGTCTATAAACAGTTTTAAGAAAACTCGTCTAATCACTTCCTTCAGAAGTAGCAGAAAGAAATTTCAGTGAGTCGTTGTTGGCTCATGTCAAGTCTGTCAACAAAGCAGTTTTTATGATTCCTGATAGGCATCTGGGAAAAAATGCTTTTAAAAAAAGAGCTAAATGGAAGTACAAAAGTAAAATTCATTTAAGAAAATTCAGGCCTTTAAAGGCCTTTATTCTTAATTAATAGTTAACCCATATTTAATCTACTCCCTCCTGTGCATCCTGCTCCTTCTCTGCCTGTCTTTTAATTCATATTGCTGCATTTTCATTGTTTATTTTATTGTTTCATTGTATTACTATTGTTATGTGTACATTTTTTATAATTTTACATATTTACTGTTGTAAGCTGCTCAGAGTAACCTCACAGCGAGATGGGCGGCAAATAAATTTAATAAATAAATAAATATGCTTGCATAGTGTAATGTTAAAAAACAAATCAAGACCATTCAAAATACTACAGTCTAGATCAGGGGTCTTCAAACTTGGTTTTTTATGACTTGTGGACTTCAACTCCCAGAATTCCTCAGCCAGGCATGCTGGCTGAGGAATTTTGAAAGTCCACAAATCATAAAAGGGCCAAGTTTGAAGACACCAGGTCTAGATACACATCTTTCTTAGAAATCTGAGCAAGAGTCTTTCATTCTTTCATGCTAGAATGTTGTTCAATTCCTTAACAAAACTAATTATTTTGAGGTAAATTATGTGTTTACTTATTAATAATTTAAATTGAAATGAAAAATAAGTTTGAATTTAATTATGTTATAGTGTCAATTAACCCTTTATGACTAGAAGTATTATTAACATTTTGTTAGCCTAGTGACAGAGATCAGAATTGGAATTGAACAAGTGTAATAGTAACATTATTAACTAAATTTCATGATGATGATTTTAAACATTCAGAAATCTCTTTTAATAAAGATTAAATTTAATTTGAAAAGGAAATTATAGGATGAGAATTTGTTTTTTCAATCAGGCATAGGGAAAAACTGATTAGTACTTATCAAACTTTTGTGGAGACAAATTTGTGGTGACTTTTGTGATTTTTGTACATATTGTAATTAGATAGGTTTGTAACATGGAAACCAGATAGAGTTTCAACCCGATAGACATTTTTGGTGAGAACTCAAGTACACTAAGCTCATCTCCAATTGTTCTGAAAGTTATTCTAATTAACTATTGTAAAAGTAAACATTCATCATTTCAAAACTAAGGCTCTTGGGCTGTGCAAGTTTTATGTAATATTTTTTTTTAAATCCTTCTTTTGCAGTTTATGTACATTTTGGGCTTTTGTTTGCTCATTGAACTAATTGGTGGAGTTATGGCCTTAATTTTCCGAAATAAGGTAAGAAAATGCTTTGCCAAATTAACCATAAAGTTAAGTTAAAAAAAGAGTCTGGATCCTGCATAACATTAAGATATTAACATTATTAATTAAATTGCATGTATGTTTATTATTAACAAAAATTTTGTGAGAAATGTCTGCAGTGAAGACCAATTCTAAGTAACATGTACTAATTAAATATGTACAATTTAAAACTTAAATGTCTGAAGTAAGAGGATGTGCAGTCATGGCCAAGTTACAGAAGAATATGCCAGATGCAGGGGTCAATTATATTTGGCTCTGAGAAAGCACTTCACAAACTGTATTCTGACAATCTACATATTCTGCAAACCAAGCACTTAATTGTTTTTCATTTTGTACAATTTATTCTGCAATGTTTATTACTTTGCATTTGATGTTATCCCAGTCAGAGTAGTTTACATTAATCCTTCTCGCTCTCTGACATATTTTTAACTATCTTGATAACCATGAAGTATAGAAAAATTAATTTCTTTGGAAGTTGGAACCAGTATCTAATACAATATCCTGTGTGCCTTCCTGTCATAACAGAATGCAAGCATCTGTTTAAACTCTTTTGGCATTATAAAGTTGTCTTTTTCCCTTGCATAGTCTTTAACTCTTTAGAATATTTTCATCTGGAAACTTTATGAGCTTTGAAAACTGTTCTTTTATAATTGATAGTATTTTCATGTATTAAAATATTGATGGATCTGTTGTATCAGTGAAATATTGATAATTGAGTATCATAAATGTGTCATTTCTCTAATGTAATTTTTAAAAGGTAGCAGTTTTCAAACTTAAAATTAATGATTGAAATATCTGATAGTCCCCCAAATTGAAATCAGCTTTGTATGTTGGGTACTATTACACTGGAAACACACTGTCTTCTGAACAGGAACAGTCTTCTCTGAATATTAAAAATGATTTTTTTTGTCCAACAGCAGTCCATAGGGAGTGGTTAAAGAAGCTGGCAAAGAAATGACTACTCATAGCACCATACATATATCAAGTTAATTTGATATAATGAGGCCATGTGATCTACTCACTCTAGATTAGGGGTGGGCAATTGGCCTCGTTTACGACCTGTGGACTTCAACTCCCAGAATTCCTGAGCCATGCTGGTTCAGGATTTCTGGGAGTTGAAGTTAACAGTCGTAAAGGTAGTACAGAGCACATAGTTGCCCATTCCAGCTCTAGATAAATTAGCAGGATGGAAACTGGCTGCAAGATATCTAGCTGGAAAATGAGAAATTATAAGGGAAGCAGGACACTTGCAGGTCCACCCTGCAGAGTAACTTTAGGATGTATCACCACCATAACTGAAAATTTTCACTTTGCAACTATATTCCATGAAACACAGTGAAGAAGAGGAAAAACAGTTCAGTTGGATGAATTAAACTTGTCTAATAGCAGAAGCAGATGAGTTATTTAGTTAGTTATATCATGAATATTACATGAATACCAAGAATTATTGCATGAGAACATCATCTAGAAAATCTCTAAAAACCATCATTTTGTAGGAGTGTTTTGTTTATGCTTTTGAGTCAGTGTTGATTCCTAGTGACTGTGTGGATAAGTCTGCAGTTTTTTTGGCAAGGTTTTTTCAGAAGTGGTTTGCCATTGCCTGCTTCCTCAGGCTGAGAGAGACTGACTGGTCCAAAGTCACTTGGCCTTATGGCTAAGGCGGGACTAGAATTCCCAGTCTCCCAGTTTCTAGTCCGGTACCTTTAACCACTTCATTGAACTGGCTGTTTGTCAAATAGGAGTAATTCATGATTTTTCTACAGTTTGGTCAAGCTAATTTGGCAAGTCACTTATTTGCCTATAAAATTACCAGTTATTGCTTTCCTTCAGTAATTTATTGAATTAAATCTAATATAATATTGTCATTTTTCTAAGACAAAAGCAATGTGATGTAATAACAGTTTAATAAACAAACCTACTTCTATTAGAATAATAGAAACTTTACTATTTTCTCTTTGATACTTGTTATGTAACACATTAAGCTCCTGTCCTTCAATATCTTTCATTTGTAGCTTTGGTGATTTATTTAATGATTTCATTAAAATAGTTTCTACTTTATTTCATATCAAGGCCAGGCAGCCTTTTGATTGTGCTATTTTACAGTATTATTGTTACTTTTCCTTCTCTACACAGCAAGCATGGGTATCTCTAGGAAGGGGGGGATCAAAACACTCATAATGGAAACTGTAACCATGTGGTCAAAGTCCTGCCCTTGTTGATGTTTGATCAAAAAGTTTGGTCACAGGGATTGATCATATGGTTATGGCTGCCATATTAACTTTGTGACACCCTATAAAATAGGGAAGAGATCAGGAGACCTTGGGAGAGGCACATAAACAGAGGTGTTTGAGGGGTGCAAATGATGAAAACAAGGTTGTGCTGTTGCATTGTAAGCTCCACCCCTTTTGTACCTGCATTGGGACATCACACATACGAAAGGGATGGAGCTTGGGTTATTTTGATGAAAAGATATGATTATATAGCTGCCTCCAAGAAGCTGTATCGTCAACTAATGTATTCAGCTTTCTATGATTGTATGCTGACTTGTTTTTCTTTTACTTCTTTTTCCTTTTAAAGACAATTGAGTTTTTAAATGAGAATATCGGAAGAGGAATTCAGAATTACTATGATGACTTGGACTTCAAAAACATTATGGATTTTGTTCAAAAGGAGGTTTGTTTTTCAGTATCAACTCAACCTTGCCCAAACTGCTATAGATTCATTAATATTCTAGCGGTCGACAATATTTTCCCCCGCAGATGGCTTCAAAGTTGCCAGAAATTCAGGAGAGACATGCTAGATTTTTGTATTCTTTCAGGAGAGCTTGTGAGATGTTGGTGATTGCACACAAGGTTTCAAAAATGGTGCCTGTCTTTCATTTCAGATCATAATACATTGTATTATGGTGTACATTCAGAAAAACAAACTTCATTTGATAGTAAAATGTTTAAAAGCTTTTGTGGAATTCTGCCAGAACTGCAGGCCATTTCTGCTGCTCATCCATCCATGAGCAATATCTACTGAACTCATAATAAAATTAAGGGTGACATTAGTTGACTACGAATAGAAGCCATCAGCAGAAAAAGAAAGAAAAACATATTTTATCCAGCTCCTTCCAACCATGATAATCTCTGTTAGTTTATGTTGGGCTTGACTCATACACCGTATTTCATCTCTGATGTATACATCAGTTATAAAACTCGGGTGCTTGTGTGGCTTTCTTCCTTGTAATATATAGTTTATATTTAACTATGTATAGCTTTCCCACTGATTTTGCTAACTCTGGTCTGTAGCTGTATAGAGAAAATTCTTCCTCACCCTTTCTAGTGCCACTGCTGTAGAAATAGTGGATGGGGTGGGGAGTTCTTTCTCAGGCAGGGTTAGAAAAGGGATCACTGGAAATTTCCCTTCTCTGTTTCAATGCAATACTATAGTAATAATCTATTAGATATTAAGAATATGTCTGTAAGAGTGACACATTACCATAATAAAATTATGACATTATGATAAAATTATGATAAAAGACTATCAAAGAATGGAGATTTATTTGTTAATCATTTACACTACAGTATTACAATTTACAATATAATTGTAAGCACATCTGATCTGTAATAAAACCCACTGAATTCAATAGAATGAAATCCTGGCTTGAGCTGAATTTTTTTGATCAATAATAAGTTTGTTGAAACCTGAAATTCTTAGTGAAGGAAATAGGCTGTTAAATTCTCATAAATGTTTGAATTAGGTTATTTTTCTCTAAGCCGCTGAGAAGCTTAATGAAATAAAAACATCTAGAGAGGCATCATATATGTAGATGATAATGAAATCCCCTGTGATCATATAGATACATTGGAACACAAGCTGAATGGAATGAATGTAAGGTGTGGAGAAGCTTATATTATATTATATTATATTATATTATATTAATTACATTACATTACATTACATTTTTAAAAACAATTAAATTAAAAAAAACAATGTCAATCTTTCTTTGGAAGAAAAAATAAATAGTATTTATACCATTTTACTGCTTTCCAAGTCTCACATTTTTTTTTCTGTGTTTATGCTAGGATTCACATATGCATTGGGATTTTCAAAGACCTTTAAGAATTTTTTAACCATTTAATTTTTCACATTTCTTTATTTTTGACCTTAATGTTGCTATTTTTAAAATTCAAGCTAACTCACATCCTTTTTCTTTATGATTCAGCAAATTTCTTCTTGCATATATTTGTACATATATATGTACACAGACATAAGCAAAACACACACAATATACTCTTTAATCACTAACCTTGGAAGTATACAGTAGTTTGGGATTTAACTAGATTACTCAAATCAAATCTTAAGGCCCTATTTCCCTATAGAATCTTTTCCAAAATTGTATTTGAAGATTATTGCCTATCATATAGGCAATAATTTCATTGTTAACAGATTTTTTTTCTTGATTGGATCATGATTTTTAAATGAGGAATGTTTACATTCTGCAACAATGCTATGTATGCTACTTTATAATTAATACCCTTTTCTTTTAAAGTTTAAGTGTTGTGGTGGTGAAGATTTTAAAGATTGGTCACAAAATCAATATCATGATTGCTCTGCTCCAGGACCATTAGCCTGTGGAGTCCCATATTCTTGTTGTGTTGCAAATAAGGTAAAAACAGTACATTATTCTCAATTAGTTGGGCAGCTTTTTGAGTGTTTGTCACATTGTGTAAAATCAATAGTTTTCCCCTTAAAGGTAAGCTTGTCAACAAAAAGAATAATCTGTGGAAACATTCGTGATAAAGGGTGCAGAGAAGAGTAACAAAGATGATAAAGAGTCTGGAGGCTAAACCATATGATTGAAGGAACTAGGTGTGCCTAGTCTAATAAAGAGGACTAAGGGAGATACGATGGCAGTCTTCCAGTACTTGAGAGGCTGTCACAGAGATGAGGGGGTTGACCTATTCTCCAAAGTACCCAAGGGAGGACAAAAAGTAACAGGTGGAAGATCATTAAAGAGAGAGTGAACCTAGAACTAAGGACAAATTTCCTGACAGTGAAAACAATCAATCAGTGGAACGGCTTACAACAAGGAAGTTGGGGGCGCTCCATTACTGGAGGTTTTCAAGAAGAGATTGGACAGCCATCTGTCTGGAATGGCATAGGGTCTCCTTGAGCAGGAAGTTGATCTACAACACCTTCAAAGTCCCTTCCAACCCTATTGTATATTCTGTGTTCCATCCATCAGTTTGTTTGATGTGATTTGTACATGCCAAGATTGTATGTGGAGAATCAGTTTGATATAGTAGTTAAAAGGCTAAGAAAGCTTGAAATTATAATGGTCACTTTGGATTGGTCACTCTCTCTTAGCCCAGAGAAGATGGTACTGTCAGACTGGTTCCACAAATGTTGCCATACGGTTGTATGTAGTTTCCAGAAATCTAGATTGACTTGAAGAACTACAACACACAAAGATTGTATAAAATAAATAGAAAGGAAACATTATTCACGGTTATATGGAAATAGCCTTATGGGTATTAGAACTATAGACTCTAAATACAATTTCCCTAATCAAATTTGGATAAATCGGACAAATCTAATCTTTGGATAAATCTAAAAACAAATTAATTTGTTTGTATTAGACCTTTTACCGATAAAGAGCATTTTTGCCTTGTTAAAAATATTTTTGAAGCAAGTGAAGAGCCAGGCGATTTTCCTTCTAGTATGTCATTGAGGCTTATTCTATGATGTAACTCTTCTTGTGACAGTCATAAATGCACTATGAAATATGGCTTTTAAAAGACATAATGCTATTTATGTAATAAAATCTATAATAAAATCATATCCAGAATATGTATTATCACAGTTCATGAACGGAAGTAAATCTGTGTTCAGCAATGCTAAGTTTATAGTAATCCAGCTCTAGGCAATAGTTTTTGGAGGTGAACTATCTGTAATGCTCTGATATGATTATCAATAAGAAAATTGTATACAATCTATTATCAGATAATACCAATACCACTGTGAGGGTAATACCCACCGCCTTTGTGTTTTTTTTTTTTTCAGTGCTTTCAGAAGGATAAAAATAGCAGTGCCTTTAGTTATAAAATTAACATTATAAACACCTAAAACAATAGTCCTAGACATCTTTTCAAAGCTGTCTTGTATTATACACATTTGTCTGAAAGATGCCACAACACCACTCTAAAAATAAATCAAGCCAAATATTAACTGTTTGACATAGTTTCCAAAAGTAGCTTGGCTTTTTCATTGGGAAAATACAAATGTGAGCAGCAGTCATTCATTTATTCTGTGGTCATGGAAAAATATAATTAATATGTGAGGTCAGTGTCTTTATTCTAAAGCAAGCTTCATGGAATAGATAAGATCTGGATAGTAGGCTTTGCCACTTCAGTGAAAATTTATTGGGATAGTGTAAACAAAGGCTATACAAAGGCTAGGAAATCTTACCAGATCAAAAAAGCTGACTTTTCACTATCTATAATAGTGTACTTATCAGGCCTAGAGAAGGATGTGACATGAGTCAAGTCCATTTCTCTAGCATAAGACATTCAACTAAGTATAGCAGGGCTATGAAATAGCTCAGGGGTCCCCAACTCCCGGTCTGTGGACCAGCACTGGTTCACAGCATGCCAGCAAGCAGGCCACACAAACAAGCAAAGCTCCATCCTCGGGATGCAGGCAGTATTCAAAACCACACCCCCTCTGGTCCATGGAAAACCTTTCTCCATGGCACCAGTCCCTGATGCCCAAAAGGTTGGGGGCCTCTGAAATAGCTGATACAGGACAAAGCTGAGCATGGCTTGACTCAGTCCAGATCCTTTCTTATACCTTAACAAATAGGCCTCTAAGGGCCAATGCTTGCAAAATGAAAAGTTGGCTGTGCTCTATTGCTAATGCTAATGCTACATTACTTTATAGCAAGCATTTGGATGCTTGTATTATTGGGTTAAGCTTGACTAATGGGCTCCCAAACGTACCACTGAGTTTAAAGAGGCAGGACTACAAATAATCCTATTTCTCCTGCTGTTCTTAAAAGGTCCTGTTTTGCAGGTACTGTATTCAGTCTGGTGAGTAAAGTAGAAAAAAATCTCCATGTGGAAGAGAGTAGATGGTTGTTGTTGAGTCCTTGGCGAAAAGCAGACGCGAGAAGCAGTTGTAGTTCTCAGGTTTCCTTTTATTCTGTGTTCAGCTTACAAGTGAAGGCTTCAGCAACGCCCAAAAGCTCCTAGCCTCTTATATAGGCAGTTCCCGGGTCAATGTGTTACTTTTCCCGCGCCAGCACCCGCGCATGCGCACAGGCGCTGGCGACAGCCTGTCTGGTCCCGGGCAGCTTGCACCTGCCCGGGACTGCCTGCAAACGCCCCGAGCCCGTTTGCAAGGCTCGGGACATAACACCCCTTTCCCCCGGGCTAAGACTACTACCAACATACAATTATTTCTTGATGCAGTGTTCTACTCCCCAGTGCTCCTACTGTTTACTGGCTTTTGTTTGGCCAGCAATGTTATGTAATCCTCTAAGTATTTAGGAGATTTCCTTGCTCTCTGTGACCTTCTCAGCTCTGGGTTTCTGACAGGTGTTTCCTGACTGAGGGGAGACATGAGCCTGTTCTCCTTATCATGCCTTGGTGCCTTCCAAGGACTGTGCCCCGATGCCTGGCCTGCTTGCTCGCCCACCCGGCTCGTCAGGCCAGGGCTTCTGTCACTTTGTGACCTGATTGACCTGCCTAACTGTAGGCCCTCGGGCCCCTTGAAATGATAGCCACTGCTGGGCGTCTCTATAGAACCTCCTAGGTCTGTCCAAGACCTGTCAGGAGGCTATCCAATCCCTAAGCCCCGTTCTGTGTCCGGGCTCGTGTGGGTCTCTGTACCTTCCCAAAACTCAGTTACTCCCTGATGTGGGCTAGAGGTGTTGCGGTCGGGACTTGGTTCCTCGACCACCTCCCTGTAAGTTTGACCCCCTGTAGGACTTGGGGTAAGGTCAGGCCAACTCTGGGGATTATGTGCCAGCTCTCTTGCGGGGTATGATTTATTGGGATGCTCCCGGGTATCCTCCCTGACTGGAGTACTGTGCTGTGCAGGTGAATAGTGATTGTACCCCCGGGGTGACTCCCTGGCTGGAGTAGGCGTGAATGCCTGGTAGTTGGATAGGCTCTTAGAATTCCTGTTTGGGGTACTCGCGGAATCTTGGAATGGGCCATTTGTGGCTCCATGATTGGAGGTGGGCAGCAGCTCGTGCCCCTCCCTTTGCTCTAAAGGGTCCCCCTCCCCCCCTGGAAAAGACCCAGGAGTCTCATCTGAAAGGTCCCGCCTAGGGCGGAGTTGGTCGATGTGCCGACGCAGGACACGACCGTTGTCCAGGGCTACCTCGTAGGAGAGAGGACCTGTGACCCTGGAAATAGAAGCGGGGACCCATGTATGACCAGGCCCGTAATTGCGAGTCCAAACCGGGGCACCCACAAGTAGTTGTCTAGGTGCCCTAGGATGTGAGGTAGACGAAGGCAGTCTGACCGGATGCAACTGGTCAAGCTTCGTAGTAAGTTTGCACCCCCAGCGAAGTTCAGCTGGGCTTCTCCCTATAGAAGTGGACGGTGTGGTGCAGTAAGAAAGGAGAAAGTCAGCCAACCTGTGATGCCAGTCCCCATAGGTGAGTCTTTTCAAGGCGTCCTTTGTGATGCGGACCATGCGTTCAGCCATACCGTTGGTGGACGGGTGGAAGGGTGCAGACGTGGCATGACGAATCATGTTAGCCTGTAAGAAAGCTTGGAATTCGGAGGAAGTAAATTGAGGGCCATTGTCAGAGACGATGACATCTGGGAGCCCGTGTGCAGCAAAAATCCCCCTCAGTACCTGAATAGTCTTTGCAGTGGTGGTGGATGAGACAGGTACAACCTCAAGCCATTTTGAATGACTGTCAACGAGGACCAAGAAGAACTGGCCCTGAAAGGGCCCAGCGTAGTCAATGTGCACCCTAGACCATGGGGACTGTGTATCCTCCCATCTATGCACAGGAGCTTGGGGCATCTCTGGGCGAGAGCGCTGGCACAGGTGGCATGCATGCACCTTAGCCTCAATGTCCTTATCTAAACCAGGCCACCACAAGTGGCTGCGCGCAAGGGCCTTCATGCGAACAATGCCAGGATGACCCTCATGGAGGGACTCTAAGATCCTAGTCCTCATTGAGGTGGGAATGACAACTCTGTTTCCCCAAAGCAGACAACCCTGAGAAGTGGACAACTCGTTCCTTTTGGACCAGAAACTCTGAAACTCAGGACTAGGGCAGTGCTCAGGCCATCCAGACAAAACCCAAGAAAGGACACGTGAAAGTGTGTGATCTGTGCCTGTTTCAGCGGCGACATCCCTGGCATTCAGAGGGGACTCGGGCAAGACTTGGATGGATAGAATGTTGACAGCTGGCGCAGGGTCAGCTTCTACTACTGGCAGGGGCAATCTACTGAGGCCATCAGCATGGCCCATTTCTTTCCCAGGCTTGTGGAGTAAGGAAAAATCATATGCAGACAGAAAAATAGACCACCTAAGCATTCTAGGGGAAATGATTTGGGGAGTTTGTTTACGTGTGGTAAACAGTCCCAGCAGAGGCTTATGGTCAGTGAAGACCGTGAAATGCCTGCCATACAAGAAATCATGGAATTTTTTAATTCCAGCAACAACAGCCAGAGCCTCCCTGTCTATCTGAGCGTAGTTGCGCTCAGCAGAAGACAGTGTTCTGGAGTAATATGCAACAGGAACCTGAGTTCCATCAGACCTGAGGTGGCTCAGGACAGCTCCTACCCCGTAAGGGGAAGCATCACAAGCGATGCACACAGGAAGGGACTCATTGAAGTGTGCAAGTACACTGTTAGAAGTGAGTAAGGCCTTGACCTCATTGAAACTAGCCTCATGTGTTTGTGACCATTGCCACACTGCTTGTTTGTCTAATAGCCTGTGAAGAGGCTCAGCTACACTAGCTTTATGTGGAAGAAAGGAATTGTAGAAATTCAGGAGGCCCAGAAAGGCCTGAAGTTCGGCCTTAGACTTTGGCCTAGGTGCTTCTAAAATGGCAGTTAGTTTGGATTCAGCAGGGTGAATCCCAGCAGCATCAATTTTGAATCCCAGAAATTCAGTAGAAGGCACCCCAATTTTGCATTTGTCTCTTTTGAGCCTGAGGCCTGTTTTCCTGAACCTTAACAGAACAGCCCTTAGCCTTTCAGCTAGAATGTGTGTGGAGTCTCCTGCAATTAAGACATCATCAAAGTAGGGGCAAACCCCCGGTATGCCCCGTAGTGTGTTTTCCATTACGCTTTGGAAAATCCCAGGAGCGACATTCACTCCAAACTGTAGCCTTTTTACCTTAAAGGCTCCCCTGTGGGTCACAATAGTCTGAGCTATAGCAGCATCATCATCAACAGGCAGCTGTTGATACGCTTGAGCTAGGTCAAGCTTTGCAAAAACGCGCCCCCCCTTGAGGGAGGCCAGAATATGACTGACCACAGGAACAGGATAGGCATGTTGCTGCAATGCCTTATTAAGAGTGCATTTGTAGTCAGCACAAATGCGAATGTCCCCATTTGCCTTTAGAGGCGTGACAATGGGGGTCTCCCAAGGGCTGGAATCAACAGGTTCTAGGATTCCCTGTTGGATCAGTTTGTCTAACTCAGTGTCAATTTTACTCTTTAAAGCAAAAGGGACCCTTCTTGCTTTAATTCTAATGGGAGTGACAGTGGGGTCTAGTTTTAAGGACACAGGAGGTCCCTTGAATGTGCCCAGCTGGGGGCTGAAGACATCTGCAAATTCTTTGCAGACTTCCTGTAGGTCGAGTGTTTGTAAGCTGTTGAGCCCCGTGACGTGTATCCCCAAGGCTTCAAACCAATCGAGTCCTATGAGACTCGTTCGTTCACCCCCTACTACTAATATGTCTAGTGGACCTTCAAAATTCTTATACTGTACGTTAAGGGTGGCCTCCCCCTTAACACACACTCTCGAATTTTGAAAGTCTGTTAACACAATGTCAGAAGGCCTTAATTTAGCCTGAGTTCCACTGCCGGAACAAATCTTCCTAAATGTATGTAAGGATATGATTGAAAGGGCAGACCCCGTGTCTAGTTCCATAGTTAATGGAACCCCTTGTAGCTTCACCTTGAGTGACAGCTTTTTCTTGATGGGCTTGTGTGTGCCTGTCCTGAAGATGCTTCTTCGCGAAGCGCAAAAACCTACCCTATTCTGGCTGGGGACCCTGGTACCTTTCAGGCGCAGTTCTTCCTGAGGTTGTACCTTTCGTCGGCCCAGACACACAGCTGCAATATGTCCTTGTTTCCCGCACGCCCGGCAGATAGCGGAGCGGAACTTGCAGTCGGTTCTCCTGTGGCGACCTCCACAGCCGATGCACTTGAGGGGAACTGCAGAGCTTCCTTTCTGATTCCCTTCCTTCGTGGGGTGGAGACGGTCGACTTCCTCGTCCGGATCCTCCTCGGAGTTCCCTTGGACGTCCTCTTGGTGCACGGATGCAACATCTGGACTGTTCCTGATCGGCCGCAAGTTTTTGACGGCGCCGCCTGCTGCTTCTTCTGCGGTGACCTCTCTTAAGGCATCTTGGAAGGACAATTCTTCTTTGGCGAAAAGCCTCTGTTGTAGATCTCGATGCCTTTAGCCGCACACGAATCGGTCCCTCAGTCGTTCTTCGAGGTCCTTGAACTCACAGTGCTTGGCGGCCTTCCTCAATGCGGCGATGTATTCTTTGGCCGACTCTCCGGATCGTTGATCCCTCTGCTCGAAGGTGTGGCGCCATGCGATGACGGACATCTTGGGCTGGAAGTGCTCCTTCAATAGCTTCTTTAGATCTGCGTAGCTGACAGACTCTAACGGGACAGGTGCTGCAAGGTTCTCTGCGATTTTGAAGGCGTCTTGACCGCAGACACAAAGCAGGATGGCAGCCTTCAAGCTATCTTCCCTCACTTGGTTCACCTTGAGGTAATTTTCCACCCTGGCTACGTAGGACTCCCACCGCTCTGGATGTGAGACGTCGAACTCCGAAAGCCTTCCAACCTTTGCCATTTCAGGAGACGGGTCTATCAGCCAGCCTACCCCCGAATGCGCACTGGATTGGCGGGTAGCTGCCGAGTCAACGCCGTTCCGTCGTTCCGCCGCTCAGGACTCACTTGGGTAAGCTTACACCTCTTCCTTTCCAGGCGATGTAAGGCATCCCATCCTCGTCGCCAGTGTTGAGTCCTTGGCGAAAAGCAGACGCGAGAAGCAGTTGTAGTTCTCAGGTTTCCTTTTATTCTGTGTTCAGCTTACAAGTGAAGGCTTCAGCAACGCCCAAAAGCTCCTAGCCTCTTATATAGGCAGTTCCCGGGTAATTGTGTTACTTTTCCCGCGCCAGCACCCGCGCATGCGCACAGGCGCTGGCGACAGCCTGTCTGGTCCCGGCAGCTTGCACCTGCCCGGGACTGCCTGCAAACGCCCCGAGCCCATTTGCAAGGCTTGGGACATAACAGTTGTCATCTTAAACGAGCATATTTTTGGTGCAAGTATGATTATTTGGAAGATGGTACTTATGTAGGAAAGGATTATTTGGGTACTGTGTTAAGCAACTGAAATGGGTGGAAATTGTGTTTTTAATAGATTTGCTTATCTCAGAGGGGTTAGTATTCAGAGTATAATCCCAGTGAATTTGTGCCTTTATTTGCTGAACTCAATTCATGTTATTGAATGCTCTTGTTCAAGGCCTCAATATGTGGGACAACGAATCTTGAATTTTCAGGGGCATTCAAAAACATTAAAAGGGAAAAACCACTACTTTTCATGGCTTAAACCTTTCACAAGCTGTTTACAAGAGAAATAGTGGCCTATTGAAACCAGGTTTATGGAAGAAAATGGTTGGAAGACCAAGTATGTACAGTGAATCAACAAACTGAAATGTACACTTAAACAAGTATTATAGATGTCAAAGTCATGTATAAAAGCTTGGGCATTTGGATACTAATAAACTATCCAATTTACAATGAATTGGACTAATTTGGATGCAGGGAGGTTCATTTGTGCTCCCAAATACTTCCTCTTGAGGTATTATAAATTTCTAATAAAAATATTGTTAAAAAAGCTAATAAAATTATTATTTAAAAAGATATTTAAAAACTTGGCAGAACTAGGTAATGATTTTTAATCTTTTAGTGTTTTTGTTAGCAATTTGAACATTAACAGAAAATGTATTTCGCACAAGGGACTATTTTTTACTCAAACTATAATAATATAGTTTTAATTTTTCTTGTTTATTTAATTTTTACTTTAGGAAAAATAAAAAACAACAACAATGTGATTATGTTATAGTTTTTATATCAAGCTATGTCATTTTGTTCATGTTACATTGTAAGTGAATGTGTTTATATGTGTTTTTTTCCCCAGACAACGGTCATTAATACCATGTGTGGATATAAAATGATTAATGAAGAGGTAGGGATATGAAATATTTTTTTACATATATTAATTTTAGCACTATAATTAAAGCTATGGTTTTCCCAATAGTAATGTATGGCTGTGAAAGTTGGACCATAAGGAAGGCTGAGCACCGAAGAATTGATGCTTTTGAATTGTGGTGTTGGAGAAGGCTCTTGAGAGCCCCTTGAACTGCAAGGAGATCCAGTTAATCAATCCTAAAGAAAATCAACCCTATTGTGACTTTGTTGAGTTGTTTCCCCAACACCTGGATCTAAATCAGGGGTGTCAAACTGCCGGCCCATGGGCCGGCGCGTCACATGGAAGCCATGCCCACCCCGTTGCTGGCAATGGCAAAACAGTCCCGATACATCACGTGACATCATATAACATCATGAGTTTGACATGCCTGATCTAAATAATCAAAAAGAAATTGGTCATGGTCTCTCAGCCATGCCAAGCTTTTTCCAGGAAGCCCTGTTTGGTAAGAAGCTACTCTTGCCAATTCAACCACAATAGTAAGTTGCATAATATATGCTAGTGCTCTAGACAATCAAAAAAGGGGAAACCCGTTTTCTCTCCCTGCATTAACAAGGTTGTGACTTATTACTTTACAGCGCCTGAGTGTTCAACATATCATATATATCAGAGGATGTACAAATGCTGTATTCATTTGGTTTATGGACAATTATGCCATCATGGCTGGAATTTTGCTCGGTATATTGCTTCCACAGGTAACTCTTTTTATAGGATAGATGGAGCATTGCCCTTCCTTCCTTCCTTCCTTCCTTCCTTCCTTCCTTCCTTCCTTCCTTCCTTCCTTCCTTCCTTCCTTCCTTCCTTCCTCCCCCCCCCCAAACAGCAGCTGAGTCTGGGTCTAGATTCCACCACCTCGTTTTTCCCAGGTTGCTGGGTGGACAAGGAATCCTGAACCATGGATTGCAGCAGAGTCCTGCCTGGTTAGGAACTCTCCTGATTGTAGGAGAAACAGCTAGAGCTCACAAATCTTACTCAACATCACTATTTCTTTGGGTTTTGCGTAATGTTCATGATGCAGTGTCAAAATTGGGCAAATCATGGGTTCTTGCTTTCCTCTGAAGGGCTATTGGATGGGAAGGGAGGACAAGAGGAGAAAACATACTCTGGGAACAATTTTGTGTGTTTGTTTGCTTGACAGTTTTTTGGAGTGCTGATCACTTTGCTGTACATCACCCGAGTAGAAGACATAATTGCTGAACACAAGTTGAATGAGGCACTGCTTCAAGGAAGGAGGAGACAGAGAGAGGAGGATGAGCCAGCTGGAGCTGGGTGCTGTATGTGTTTTCCTGAGTAACACCAAATTGCCCTTTGAACAAGTCTAACAGTTAATATCCCCTTGCACTGCCTTGAATGTAAACTTGAATATACTGTGATTTGTAAATAGTAGATGACAAACATCCTGACACTTTCCAGACATCATTAATAGAATATATCTCATCTCTAAGTGTTCCTTATTACAGCGAGATTTGTTCCTATGTTGGAATCTGTTTGTTTTGTGATGTCCCAAAAGACCTAGCCAGTTTCCTGCTGTACGATAATTCAGGAGAGAAATAATAATTTATTCTAAAGATAATTATTATATACAAACTGACTATACTCAATTGGTCTACCTAAGAGTATATACCTGTATAGCAAGGTGAAGTTATATATTTTTTAATTACTAATAAAATGTGGCAAGTCAACCGGTGCAGGAAATGTTTCACAAATCCACATCTATTGATTTGCCACCATAAGATGATTCTGTGATAGAAGCAACCCACACTTCTTTTTTTATGGAAGGATAATATATCTGACTCCCTATGTATTATTAACTGGGTTAATTCTTGCTTTTCTAAAAACTTGGGCTTGTTACAGTGTTGTTTTTAAAATGAATGTAATTTTCAAGCTCCTCATTACATAATCACCACTGCAAATCATAATATTGAAATTTTCTGGGAATAATCTAATGTGAAGTCTTGTGTGGGAGCCTAAGTAAACACATTTAACTTTCCAATTGTTTCGCTGTTGATTCTTAGCCAATGAAGTATTTTAAGGAACTGATTTTCATTCTTGTGCAATCAACTTTTTATGCTGCTTCTAACAGATAACTGGGAATTTTAGAGGCCTTTGCTGTGTCTTTTGTATGTTCCTGATCTAATCCACCAGTGTGTGATCAGTTAACTAAAAGCTGCTTATTTTGATGCCAATTTTTAAATTTCTGTTTTTTAACTGTATGGAGTTTTGTGTGAATCATATATTTGATATCCCTAATTAATGTATTTTTCTTCTGTTTCTGAGCAGAATTCAGGGGTGTACAGATGTGCCACTGAAAAATTATATTGTTTACATGAAAAATAAAAGTTATGGTTTTGTAAAATAAAAAGATCGTCTTTTCGCTATGGAGTTGGAGTAATTGAATGGGTTTCCTGGATATAAAATGTTTCTGTTCTTTTTTTAAGACGGTGATAATTCTACTCTGCAAAAAGTTGCCTAGAAATGTTGCATGTAATTGACTAATATCAATAAGACATACATTATTGCAAAAGTACTTTGTAGTCAATTTTAATGAGTAATATATATTTTACTTAGTTTTCACATAAATATGGCTAGCCCTGTTCACTTTCTTCCTCAAGCCATAAAAGCAAAAAGTTAATTTGATAGACTGTTAACAATTGGCAAATCAATTCTAAAATACAAGGCATTGGAGAGAATAGATTTTGTTTTGTAATGGGCTCATTCAAATGACATATTTTCCAATTGCTTTATTCTGAAGAGTTGAATGTGAGCAAAAACCAAGGGGGTAAATTTCAAGTGTAATCTTTGCTCCCCTTCTGTGAATAAAAGTTTGACTAAAAGATGAAAAAGATACTCTCAGCATGAATATTACATATAGATATTGAAGACGAAATAACAAAATAAAAGAACTAATGTTAACAGTGAACTATCCCTGAGCAAGCAAGTTAAAAACAAATTCTAGCACACAGATTTCTCCAGGGTAGTACATGCAGTTTTCCCACAAACATTTTTAATAAATTTCCTCTGACAGGTTTTTATGCCACTGTCCATAATAAAACCTTTTTAAATATAAACTAATTATCTGTCCCAAGCATACATATTTTTTATTCAAAATGTTGGTGATGAGGAAAGCAAACATTTAGTGCTTTTTTGCTCCATCTTATGATAGAGTGTGCATTGATATGGCATATTTTGTGTCACATTTGTGCAGGATTTTCTTCATATCCCAGAACTAAGGTGCCTGTTACCTGCTTTTGAAAATGACTATCCTCCCCCTCCCTTTTCCCTCCAAGGTCCCTCACTTTTTTAGAGATTTTTCCCATTTTTTTAAAAAAATAAGCCTGTGTATACATCAACACCTGAGTAAAAACAAATTCATTTCCTCTTAAGAGATAGTTGTTTTTGAGTAAATTAAGGTTTCCAAGAGTGAGAGAAACTTGTCCCCTCCCACTCTCTATCATCCCCAACACACAAAGCAGAACAGACTGTAATTGAAAGAATTAAAGCAGGGGTCTTCAAACTTGGCCCTTTTATGACTTGTGGACTTCAACTCATAGAATTCCTCATCCAGCCTGCTCAGCTGAGGAATTCTAGGAGTTGAAGTCCACAAGTCATAAAAGAGCCAAGTTTGAAGACCCCTGAGTTAAAGGAACAAAGGATTATTTTAACTCTGATCTACCAAAGCAGTGTTTTTCAACCTTGGGCACTTTAAGATGTCTGGTCTTCAACTCCCCGCATTCCCCTCCCCTCCCAGCCAGTCAACATTTATTTTCAGTCTTTTTTTTTTCTTCTATAAGTTTCCCATTTTTCTGGCAATTCCCTTCTATTAGTCCCTTGCTATAACCAAGCGTATTAGTCTGAAAACCAAACAATAACCAGACAGAAATAGGAAATGCAGGCATCCCATATTTTATACTGCATGTACTTCACCCTTTCCTTACTCACTAGTGCAGGGTGTCAAACCTTGGCCACTTAATTATATATGGATGTCAGCTCCTAGAATTCTCCAGCCAGCATGCTAGATGAGGACTTCTAGGAGTTGAAGTCTACACAACTGAAAGTTGCCACTGTTCTAGAGAATTCCAGGTAAATTGGGTAGTAGCTATTAAGACCCAGAAACATTTAGAAACAACAAGTCAAAGCTTTTCAAACAGCCTGTTGTCATTTTGCTTTGGTCTCAAGAAGCCTTTTTCACTTGTTTTTGAACACATCTTAGTTAAGATTGAGAAACAAAAGGCCATTAAGTATAGCTTCTAGAATATTTTAGCACAAGATCAAGAGTGAACTATGTAGTTCATATTTAAATTGATGGTACTGCAGTTCCGAAAAGGGGGGGATTGGGGCAAACACTAAAAGTGAGTGATGCAAATGGAAATAAAATTCATTTTGAGTTTAGTATTTTCCCCTTCCCAATTCCTAGCAAATTGTGGATCCTTTTAATCAGGGGTCTTCAAACTTGGCCCTTTTATGACTTGTGGACCTCAACTCCCAGAATTCCTCAGCCAGCGTGCTTGGCTGAGGAATTCTGTGAGTTGAAGTCCACAAGTCATAAAAGGGCCAAGTTTGAAGACCCCTGCTTTTAATGCTGTATCTTAGATTATTTAATCCAGGTTAGCCTCTCCAACATGGAATTGACATTATCAAGCCAAGCAACAACAAAGAGGACTAAAAACTACACCAAGGATTAAAATCCAACTGGCCTTATTATAAATCAGGCATTATATTGATCATAACTAGGGGAAAATAAATGATCCCAGCTCTAAAATTTGGACCAGAAAATGTTCTAAAAATAAAAGCACTGACAATTCATGGCAGTTGTTTTATTAACATTCATAATACTTTACAGAACAAAAATGCCTTCCACGCTGTGGAACAATTTTAAGGCAAAAGCAAGCATCAAACAAACTGCAGATCTCATGCAAAGCAAGAGACAAACCATGAGTCATATTGAACAGAGGAGGTGGTCATTTTTTCCCTTATAGTTGTATTAGCATTAGGGCTATAATTGGCAACAAAAATACATTAAGAAAATAGAATACCAGGAGTTAAACTAACAATTCAAGAACACATATGGAAACTATATGCCAGTATTCGGTTACTTAACTGGAGGACTGCTTAATGCTGTTAATGGAATATACATAAATATGGATTTATATTAGGCCATTAGATCAATGAAGATAAAGCTCAAAATATGACATGGAATTTAACAAAAGAACAAAATTCTGCATCCGATAGAGGTTTAACTTTACAGTATTGCAAAACAGATGAAATACTAAGTATTTACTGGACCAAAATGATTTCTTAAAAATAAATCAGGTGCAGCTTATATATCTTGTTAAGAAGAACTATAAGAGGGGTCTTCAAACTTGGCCCTTTTATGATTTGTGGACTTCAACTCCCAGAATTCCTCAGCTAGGCATGCTGGCTGAGGAATTCTGGGAGTTGAAGTCCACAAGTCATAAAAGGGCCAAGTTTGAAGACCCCTGAACTATAACAATCAAAATGAATAGTTTACCAAAACCTTTCTTTTCCAAATGATCCCAATACATATTGAAAACAAGTTATAACATGTTTGGCATAAACAGGAAAGGAATTACATATGGTCCCCTCCCCAAAAAAGACCAAGGATTAAATTCAAGATTTTACACCATTCAAAAATTAAAGTGGGTTAGTGGCTCCAAACCTGAAATATTATACCAGCAGACTGACAGATTATATCTCTTTAAGGCTAACTCTATGGAGGACTTAAGATATGCAATATATGGCATGGCTTAAATAACTGCAGGAAAAGAATAAGTCTAGATTTTTTCTTTCTTGCTTTCCTGTTAAATATCTTTATCAAGAGAACACAAAGATATTCACTCAGTGGAAACAACTTTTTAAATGTAATCCTATTTTGCAATCTAAACAAAGACTGCATGTCTGCGATTCTCATTTCACAACCATCTAATTTGCTGGTGGTGCCTTCCAGACATGTGGGAGCCATATGGCTCTGGTCCCCATAATATAAACCTCCTCCCCCCAGTGTCTAGTCTTCTGGAATGAACTGAGTTGGATCTTGCCTACTTGCATAGGTTCCTCAGATACAGGAATGGCCAGAAAGATCTTTTAGAAGCTTGAATTCTGGCCCTTTCTTGCTGTAGATGCCCATCTATATATAGACAGAGCTGCATTAATTCTTGAAGGGTTTCTGGACACTTGGCACTAATTCAACAAGACATTTTTTGGATAGGATAGGATAGAATAGGATAGAATAGAGCTGGAAGGAACCTTGGAGGTCTTCTCTCAAGCAGGAGAACCTATACCATCTCAGGTGAATGTCTAGTCTCAGGAATTCTGGGAGTTGAAGTCCACGAATCATAAAAGAGTGAAGGTTGCCTACCCCTGGTCTAGCTTCTTCTTAAAAATCTCCAGTGATGGAGTGCCCATGATTTCTGGGGGTAAGCTGTTCCACTGGTTAACTGTCCTCACTGTCAGGAAGTTTCTCCTTAATTCCAGGTTGCTTCTCTCCTTGATCAGTTTCCAACCATGGTTTCGTGTCCTGCCATCTGGTGCTTTGGTGAACAACCTGACCCCCTCTGCCTTGTGGCAGCCCCTCAGATATTGGAACACTGCTATCATGTTCTATTCCTTCTTTTTTTTAAAACTAGCCAAACACTAGTCCTGCAGCTGTTCTTCATATGTTTTAGTCTCCAGGCCTTTGATCATCTTAATTGCTCTTCTCTGATTTTTTTCCAAACTCTCAACATCTTTTTCTTGGGCCAATAACTTGAAGGTGCTGATGGGCTGCACCCTTGCTTCAATTCAGGAATGTGCTTGTTGGTACTTTGAGCTTTCACAGGACCTGTATACACCATCTACAATTGCTGGCTAGAGTCATCAAATTTACCCATCAGAAAAACCTGCTGCAACAAAAAAGCAGTGGCCCATTTAGCAGTTGCTGTAGAGAATTAAGTTGATTAGAATTCATTTGGGAGGTTTTTAGGCCATATGCTCAGCTGGAGTTTAGATCTTACCAGGAAAGCTGGAAAATAGTCCAGCAATTTATCAGATTTGCCTGGGCTGACCACCGAGCTTCTCCTGTGTGGAGGAATGTGATTTTCAGTATTTAGCTGGTTTAATACCTCCTGCTGCTGGGTGGCAAATGCAGCCATTTGCTGGCTTGGTTGAGCATTTTCATCTGTGAGCTGCTCCATTGTAGTTTCAAAAGTTTTTCACTCTCTCAGGCAAGAAAAGTGTGCTATGGAACAAGCAGTCCTCTTTCAGGTTTCAACTCGCACACAGTTGCTAGATTAGAACAGCAATTTACTCAAGGCCAAGTGAACAACAAGAAAGGAACACACATCAAAATCAAACCTGTCTGTGGTTGCTTGAGTAGTTTCAG